TCTCCAGAAGTCCAGCATCTCTCCTGTATCGATCAGTTGCTAACTTGCTCAGAGTGCGACCGGACTTTTATTAAAATAACAATTAAAAGCATTAAGTTCATTCGTTATTTCCCTTTCCTTTAAAACACCGACAACTCAAATCAACAGTTTGCTTATCTTAATAGAAGCTGATGTATGACCGTGACCCGTAAGCAGACTACGATTCTAACTCTGATCTTATCGAGTTTCAGAAGATGGCTCGCTCGCCCACTGTTGAGTACTAACCCCAACGGAGACTTTGCTTTCCTTTTCACCCCAATTTCTGCTCAATATGTTTCTATGTTCCCTTCGACCTTATCTTTCGATGGCACCTATAACCAAACACAGCATTATTGCCACCGCTGGTTCTGGGCCTATCAATACCCCCTTGGATCCTATTTTTGCCAAGACGTCAGCTCTTTCATTTTCTTTAATCCCCCAGTGACCCTGTACCCAGATCAATGAAAGTTTAACCCATTAACTTGTAGTAGTTTCAATCATAATTACTTTTGAATACAAATATTCATAACTGTGTCAAAAACTAAAATCTTTTTAAGGGGTTATCCCACCCTGGAATTTTCAAAATATTGATTTTTTTCTTTCTTAATTTCAAAGTCTATATTTTAACGAGTATTTTGAGATGTCTCCGAGCTACAGAGTAAAGATTGTTGAGTTTTATACGTAAATTTTAATATTAAATAAAAATGTCAAAAACTGTGTGCCCGGGTAGAAAGTATTAAAGTAGAAGTATTAAATTTAAAAATCGGACCAAATGCACAGCTAATGTGCGAAGAATTTGACCAATGCCGAGTATCTATCGCCAACCTGAGAACGCAGGAGACGACAAAGGAGGCCAGAAAATTAAAAAGAGCTCAACAAGAGGAATCGGACGACATTCTTTCCATTCTAGAAAAACTTTATTATGGCTTAGGAATTGTTGATTAATTAGTAAGTTGACAAAATTTCAAGTTATAATACACTAAAGTACACCAATCATGTACACCATCAAGGAGTGCTCCGGAAAAACTGATCCACGCCAATGCTTATATCTCCGCCCTTTTTAATTAAAAACAACTTTTTTAAAAATATTTATAAAGCTTAAGATATGTATTAAATTAGCAATAAATGTAAATAATTCCTAACTTAAATAGTTTCGTAAAAAAAATCCCTAAAAAACCATCCAATTTTCATGCGTTCAGGGTGGCGTAACCCCTTAATTTCTAAACCCCAACAATAAATTGATCTTGTCTAAAAAAATCATAGAGCAGTACATTTTTACCAATTTTAATATTGAAACAACAAAAACATTTTGTGTGCAATAGACATTTAGGAAGTAGTCGGTACTACAAACCTTGGCATAGTAATTAATGCCGTACGGCTAATTAAAAATATATTATTTATTAAAATAGTAAAAATATTATAACATTAAAATCGAATTCTTTTGTATTCCAAGCGACTTAACTAAATTTAAAATAAATGTCTCGGGAGAATAAGTCGAAGACATTAATTTTAAAGAGAAGAATGAAATCTTGTGAAGAGAATATCCTTTTTTTCGGGAATTCAGCATCAATATTTACGCATCCATTTAAAACAGAACTCCACGAGAGAGCATTCTGCTTGAATCGCGCCAGTAAATATCATAAACTTCCAAGGATAAGTATGCGACGAAGCCGTATATTCCACTTTATTTGAATTATGCCCTAAATTCGCTTGCGAAAAGCGCATTTTCCTAAAATTATTGAACGAGTTCGACGTATTCTTTCAATCTTATGAAATTTGTGTTTCCTAAGAAAGTGTCAATGATATTCTTTTTTAATCCCGCAATGAAATAAATAATTTCTATCGTTATATTCCTTTATTTAAAAGATTTTGATATTCATTTATTTATAAATCTAAAAGATATAAATAAATAAAAATGTTCAAATTAATATTTATAAATTTGTTCTGTATATACGTAATCAAAATGGAATCGATTTTTCCAGGAGCAGTTTTTGAATTTTATAGTATTTTGAAAACTAGATTCTTGAAAATATATGTATATTTTTAAAATAAGATGGAATTTGATTCAGTCTGGTTTGGTCTCAAAACGAGCAACTGTATAGTCGTTTGCACATTTGCACAGAAATCCTTACTTCACGTTTGAATTTAAATATGGAAATGCATACAAATTGAATTTTTCACGATTTTCATAGAGTCTCCTTGAACTTTATATTAGTGCTCTTATCAGACTGACACGAGACTTCATTATTGCTTTTTCCAACAAAAGGAGAAGATTGGGTGACATATAAATTAGGGTAGTGTAAAAAAACAAAAGGTCTTAAATCTTATGCTAAAAACCGACAAATTTTTGCTTGAAGAAAATAGCGGTAAATAGCTTTTTAAGTGACAATACTATATATAATTATGTGATTTTACCACATAGCATATAATATTTCCTGAATATTTCTGTACAAAGTCATAAAAATTCTGCAGCTTTCAGAAAAATGTCCCTGACCATCAAAAAGCAAAATACATAACCTGATAATGATTTGTCGAGATTCATATCAATTGGGGGAGGAGAATGTCACGTAACATTGATCTGCTTCTCTCGGTCTCAGTGGGAGAGACATTGTTAGTGATACTGGGGGTGGGACTTGAGGTGAGATAGAAATTGTAATATATTAATAATTGATCTTCACACCTTGGGACCAGATGATGATCTGTTTCATGACAAGGTACCCACAGATAACACCAAGAGCTAAATTTGCCACTAGTCTTATGAATTGTTTTTTATGGACATAGAAATTTTTTTATTACTGTAACTTAAAAATAAAATAATCTATGCGAAATTATTGTTGCATTATTGACCGAAATAACCCCGAAGGAACAAAATAATTAAGATGTACAAGAGAGATTCACTGTTTGAAGACTTGGATTTACTTTGGTCTGGACGCCAGAGTTCTTGATTCTTATAAACTTCCTCTTTCTTCTAAAATGACTTTTGACATAGCCGACTGTCAGAACTGTCAAACATGAAAGAAGTAGAAAAACAGATGAGTAAGTTATGTGTGATGGTCCGAATAAAGTTCTAAAAATAAACTCCCGAAAAAACACAAGTACTGTCTTCCTGTCTCAAAGGTGTTGCTGTGGAAGAAGAGAGAGAGAGTGTGTGCGGATGTAAAGTTCATCAAAAGAAGGAAAGGACATAAACTCAAAATTTACAACACTTGAATAAATTTTCGGATTATCCTTTGCTTAATATTCTACATTTCCCGAAATTATAAAGAAAATGATTTCGAAAATTGTATTTTTCTAAGAACCGTAACTTCGCTCTTCGAAAATGTCGAGTGGTAATTTAGAAATAGCTGTCATAGATATGTTATATTTGATCAAGCAAGAATCACCTATCCTCTTAGGATTAAAGTCATTGTTCGAGGGTAACAATAACTCGTCCTTGTATAATTGCTCTGAGATACACTCAAAACCTTGTGAATTTAAAATAACTCGGCCTTTTTGGGTTTTTCTTACAAGTAACCAATCCTAGAAAAACTGATCCCTCTTCTGACAAATTTGCTGCCCTTTCATACCCAATCCTTACCACTTTAAATCTTTCCTTTTCCGAAAAACGTCAGAAACTTTTTGAACGTTGTAAGCAAAGGATAAAAATTAAAAAAATATCCTTTCTTTTATAATTGAAGAGACCATGACTAAGTTTTACATTAAAGAAATAAAAATTAATATCTCCTCACTATTTTCAGAGCAATGCAGAAATGTTGAAAAAGAATTGAGTCAATTTTTTATTTCGCGAAAATTGTGTAAAACTGTCTTGAAGTAAAGTATGTAATGCAATTGAGAATTCGGATGTTATAAAAACAGTTGGCGTCATTAAACAAAACGCGGCGTCGTCGCTTAGTAGTTCGTCGGCTAACGAAGCCAGCTTTTACGAGGTTGTGATGCGCACATCCGCATTTTTATTCGAGACACATTTTTTTTAATCATTAATTGCGGCATATACCGCGAGCTTAGAAAAAAAAGAATCTTTTGCCTCTACACCCGACATTATCATTGGGGGAGGATATTCGATCCTACTTAGCAATGTGTATACATATACATATATATAAGTCAACCGAAAATATTGTCGTCACAAGTGCGATGTCAAAGCAGTTATGCTATGGGTGTGTCAACGCTAAAGCTTTGAAGAAGATGTGACCTTTCAAAACAGAGACGTCAGTTTCGGATTCTGTGATTCGACATGAAGTATATCTCATGACAGTTTAAGTACCTCTGAAACACGAGAGGAATATTATTATCCTGAGAGCTTTCAAAGTCATTTGGCGAACGTGTAACCAAGTACTTTTCGGCAGAATAGCTATTGCCTTGTTAAAATGCATTGGAAGTAGCTTGAGAAATGGCTCAAGGACTCCTTTTTTCGTTAAATATCCTCTGTTTACGATCCTGAAAAGCGCTTTAAACGAATAGTTTCAAGAGGAATTTTTTTATTCTTGCTCAAAGTTTAGACTCTAGCACACTAGCGAGCTACGTGAGTACACATGGAAAGAATAAAAAAAAATTATGTTCATAATATTGAAATACTGTGGTATTTTTAAACTTTTGTTTTTCATCACAAATACCACAGCTTTCGATAGCTAGTTTCAATATTTTCAAAATTGGCAAATTACACTACGAAGAATTACCACAAACAATACGAACCCTACAATAGCATTTGTAAATAAGGATTAACTCCGAGAACCCAGGTAATATTTTCTTTTTACTACTATTTTTCTTTTTTACTACTATAAGGCCACTCTTAAGTTCTTAAATGTGACATTGTTTCCCCATTTTAAATTTGTTCCGAAAACATTTTTTATAATATAAAGCTTAAATTGTCAAATTTTATTCTCGTCGAAGGAAAAATTTTTTGTCTTCTTATTAACTATTTTTTAGCAATCAGAGTTTTCTAATTTCTATCAATTTTAATAAAAGTGATATTTTTCTCATTTCAGAATGGAGATTCGCCGCAATACGTTACGGACCGACTTCGACAATTCTCGGATCCTTTGGCAAGGTTTCAACCAATCAATGGTGAGTGCTATTCATTTTATTAAAGTTCTATAATACAAGAGATTTCACTACCTCGTTTACGAAGTAATTTACCAGTTTTTACAATAAATATTCTTGGAAAGAAAATAAACATTTTTGAATGTATAATAATTTTCCTAAAAAAAGCAAAACAATTTGAAAAATTATAGTGAAAAAAAGATAATTTTTCACTGTAATGAGAATTTAACTACCACAACTAAAATGCATTATGTCACGTCCGAGTGACTTAGTATATAATTAAATTTATTTATTTAATTAATAGTCTACATGTTTGTAACAATTTAATTGTTTACAATATTTTAATTATTTGAACAATATAAGGGCTAGTTTAGGGAATATCGTATGTTTTGAATAGATTAGAAAGTTATTTTTATCCAGTAAATAAAAGTTTAAAAACTTAAGGCATATTTACTGTTTGAAATTAAAATTGAGTTAATTAAAGAATAACAAATGAGAGTTTTTTTTAATAAAGAAATCAATCAATATTATGCATCTTGAGTTTGTCACACGATATCCGCGAGAACGAAGACGACTCCCTGGTCAGGTTCATAAATCACACTTGTAGAAAGATGAGAAAGAAAACGAAGCGTAAGTTGCTCTCTCCTTCGGAAGAGAAAGAGAGAGGGTGGGAAAATAAAAGGAAAAAAAAGAAGTAAGAAAGTAGTGAAGAGGGTTGGTCGGTTTTACTAGACGCTTAGAGATTCTGAAGCTTTGACAATGTATAATCACGCCTACCTTTTAAACGAGCTCTCCTAGTCTTGACGAATATTGATGACACTATTTTTCTCTCTTTCTTCCTTTTGCCAATCATCACCGTAAGATCATTTTATCTTCTTTCAATTTCACCCTTTTTTCTCTCATTTTTTTCTTCTAAAGTAATAACTAAACCTATTTTTCATTAAAACAACCAACTTAATTAAATCAAAAAATTTTTTTAAAATCTTTTATAAAATTTCCTTTTTATAAAAGCTTGAAAAACTCGAAAACCTTTTCAAGTTTATCTATTTGGAAAGACAATTTTTCTCTTTGAACAAAAACTTTTTTGTTAAACGGATTTAGAGCCAAATTAAACAGGTCGAGATTAGGAGTAATTAATATGGAGCACTACGAAAAAGTTTGGTTCTTTGTTTTCGTAAGATACGTTTAAAAGATAATGTACTATTTTACGAATAGAAGAAAAGAAAATTTCTCCAAGTCTAAGAAAATTATATTCACAAAAGAGACATTTCTAAACGTTAAAGTGTCTCCATTGGGAGGGCATTTATGAGACACTTGTTTTAGCAATGATGCGTAAAAATTCAAAAACGACGAAAAACTTTTACGAGAAAGAAAGAGAAACTCAAACCATTAAGATTTAAAACCTGCGAACCACACCGGTAGGAACAATAAACGTAAATGTAAACAGTAGTTGGTGTGAAACGAAATAAAACAATATATATTTCATGCATCAATTAAACTTCATGTATCATTCATAGAATGAAGTGTGTTGAACACTAGGTTGTAGTTCTTAGAACAATAATTTAATTTTAATTAAATGCAAATACAAGTTCTCCACTAATAACATCAGTATATATGTAAACTGCGGACGTCTCTAGGGACATTCGTCGGCTTTCACCGTAGTTAGGATGTTCTAGGAATATCCTGGAATTTCCTAATCCAGATAGGATAGTATATGCGAGTGGAAAAATTGAATACTCCACTGGAATATTTTAGGAAGGTTCTAAGAACGTGGTAAATATCAATTTTAAATTAATTTCAATTGTAACTTTATTCTATGACAAAGTCTTCTTTTTCCACACTATAAATATTTTGAACAAACTTCATACAAATAAAGAGGATATATGTATTTAGAATAATAGTATATTACTGCAGCAAAAATATTTGTAACGAACTTTTACACATTCTCATCAAACAAGTTAAATATCAAAATGTAAAAGCTACTCAAACGGCAAAAGATTTTTCTATAATTGCTGACTGTACTCTTGAGCCGTGAGGAACAATTACCATTAGTGATAAAATTGAATCAAAAAATGAAAACAAAAAACTGTTTGCGAAAAGTTTATAGAATTTATGTTGGTTAATGATTCAACTGGTTACAGATTATCAGAAGTTATAATAAATTTATTAAATGGAATTATGGAAATAACATTGAATTAAAGACGAGACTGAAGATCTGTCGTGGCGAAGGTTACGACAACGGTGCCAATATGAAAGGATATAAATCTTCACTCATTTATAAAAATTGTGAATAAATAATTATTGTAAAATTAATGCAATTTGAAATTCAATGAACAGTAAAATTCTTTACAATGTGAAGGACAAAATTGATAAAATGCCAAAATGGTAGACATGTATTTGATTTAAGGTTTCTGAGGTTTAACTGTGAAATCCCAATTGCAGCAGAATACCGTTGTAGACAGGCTTTCTGTGTAAGCCTGCGGTTTTGGACACAACTGCAAGTCTCCTCGAGCGTTATACGACCTACATAAATTTTCACCATTTAAATTTTCCCCTAACAAGATACAACATTTCAAGTCTAAGTTCCTTTTGGCTCTACCTATATTATATCTGCACAAATTAAGATTTTAATAAAAAATGAGAAACATTTAAATCCTACAGCACTAATTTCAGAAAAGATCTCTCATTGTTCATACTTCTTAATTTATATACAAATGTTTGTTTAAAAAATATGAATATACACAAAATTCAAATGTTAACTTCAAGGGATGAATTCCAAGATTCTGATTTTCTCATAGCCATTCATTTTTAATGGAACATTAATTTACAATCTTCCACAAACTTATCAGACTTTATAATATACAAAATTCATGAATATTTGAAATAATAAAATTTGCGACATAAATCAAAGGGATGTTATTAATTGGGAATTAAAAAAAAATGACTTGCTTCGCCCTTGTAATATCACATGTAATTAGGAAAGTTCGTATACTCCTTGACGAGCATATAACCTATTTAATGAACCTACTTAACTTGAATATTGGAGTTTGATGTCAACCTTTCTAGATGTACACGTCTCTTGCAAAGATTTACTAATACATCTGAAAATCCTAATTTGAGAGACATTTATCTGAAGCACGTTAGACCCTAATAAAATTTATTTCTTTTGATGAACCTTATTTTCCGAGTTCATTAAAAACCCAAATATTCGAGTCCTTAGTACTTGAGAAATTGTCTCAGAAAATTAATCAATCTCAAGCAAGACTTTAATTTTTTTTCTATTTTCTTTTTCTAATTGCATAAAGAACGAAATACCTCAGAAGGAATTTTAGTAATTTTCCAACTTTGTAGTAAAAAGGGAAATATTAAAATGTAAGTGAGGAAAATTTGTTATATTTAAATAAGAAAATTTATGAATATGTTGCGCATTAATGTTGCAATTTCCATATTTCATTTTTCGCAAAACTTGAGACCATGAAAATAAAATTCCTTATAATTGAATTATTATACTGTTTTTCTATTCTTGTCATCTACAAAATACGCCATGTGACAATTTTTTGTCAAGAAAACAAATTGTTTCTTCAAGACCATCCGCTCTCTGAATAAAAGATCCGAAGAATGTGAAGCAAAAAATAATATGAGTCACGCTATGCAACATCGAACCTTATAAAAGAGAGATGCAAACTAGCATGCATTATTATTATTCAAATAAAAACTGTGTCTGTGGTGGAAAGCGTTAAAACTTTTGCGACATACATATGTTTAGCATAAGGGGATCAAATCATTAATGAAGTATTTTAAAAGCATATACGTATATAATATTATTATTTTCGTACTGTTAAGTGGTTTGATAACTGAACACAAAAATTCAAAAGTCGTTGTCACTGCAATTCATAGAAGTTCACTTAATAATCTTACCTATTGTAATTAGTTTAATGACATCTTCGCTTTATTTTAATGTCAGACATATTCCCAAGATAACTAATCCTAGGAAACCATCTGATCTTAGACCATTTTCAATAATTTGTGTCCTGACTAAATCATTAGAATGTCTCGTCTGTAAACAAATAACATTATATTTAAATGGGTCCTGAACTGTTCATTTTATTTATGAATGATGTACAAGTGCTTCAGGCACTCCTATTTCTTACTCTATGCGTATGATCTTAAATGTTAAAAAATAATTAATTCATCTACAGTAGAAAAGGACACTTTAGATCTGCAATAGGATATGAAGAGGCTAGAAAAATGGTGTGGTAAAAATCATTTAAGTATCAATATAGAACAATGTTATGTTTCCTTTTCTAAAGGTAGAGTTAATTCATATAATTACACTATTGATGGTCAGAACTTGGAGAGAGTAACTAGGGTGCGTGATTTAGGTATGTATTGTTCACCAGTAAATTTTAATGATCACGTTACTGAAATAGTCTCAAGGACCTCAAAATCTTTGGGGCTTATAATAAGATGTGTTTCAGTATTTCGTGGTCTTGCAACAATAAGAATATTATACTTGACTCTTATTAGATCAATAATTGAAGCATGTAGAATCTGGTCTCCTTTTTATGTCTTCAATCAGAATTGAACGTGTTCAAAATAAATTTCTTAGATTTGCTGCAAGAATACTTAATATTCCTTTTGATTGTACGCATGATTATGAGGATTTAAGGACTTTAATGAATATTCCTCTTTTGACTTCTAGATTTCATTTCTCTGATATGTCTTTTTTGTACAGACTGATGAACGTATCTATTGCCCTTCACTCCTATTTATGGTGAATTTATCTGTTCCTAGAATGTTTATTAGACGTTATACATTATTTTCAGTGGCATTTCATAGAACAAACTATGGTAAAAATTCATTAATTGATCGTATCACTAGAGAAGCTAATTTAATTTCGAATTGAAATAAATTTATTTGACGATAATGCCACAAGGTTTACAGCAACATTGCGTAACATATTTAATAGAAACTGATATTGTTCACACACAATAAAGTGTCAACCTAGATTTAAGTAAAATAAA